CTGGTTTTGTTGCGCCAGTTGAGATGGCTCGGTCACCTCCTACGCATGGCACCTGAGCGTCTAGCGCTTCGCGCTCTATTCGCTCGTCAAGGACCTGGATGGAGGCGACCGCGTTGTGGTCAGCTTTCTACATGGCGGCAGCACATGAAATCGCAGACGTCGTGTCTAGCCGCTGTTGGATCCGTACGTCTTCCAGGATGGGGACCCAAAGATGAGGAGTGTCAATGGTTTAACACTTGAAGACATGGCCCGAAACCGGAATCAGTAGAAGAATGGTGTACAATATTGTATTGATTCACGAGTTTATTAAACATTGAAAATGACAAGAAAAAAATTGGGTGGGTGAAAAAAACTAAAAATGTTTGGTTCCACATTTCGTCAAAATGTTCCTTTCTTCCCGCGACATATTAGCTGAAGTGTGTTGCTCACTTTTAACTAATGTACCACGATGACCTTCCTTTTCCGCTAAACTCCATGGATTTGTTGGCTCCGCGTCTAACTACTACTACTACTACTACTACTACTACTACTACTACTACTACTACTACTACTACTACTACTACTACTACTACTACTACTACTACTACTACTACTACTACTACTACTACTACTACTACTACTACTACTACTACTACTACTACTACTACTACTACTACTACTACTACTACTACTACTACTACTACTACTACTACTACTACTACTACTACTACTACTACTACTACTACTACTACTACTACTACTACTACTACTACTACTACTACTACTACTACTACTACTACTACTACTACTACTACTACTACTACTACTACTACTACTACTACTACTACTACTACTACTACTACTACTACTACTACTACTACTACTACTACTACTACTACTACTACTACTACTACTACTACTACTACTACTACTACTACTACTACTACTACTACTACTACTACTACTACTACTACTACTACTACTACTACTACTACTACTACTACTACTACTACTACTACTACTACTACTACTACTACTACTACTACTACTACTACTACTACTACTACTACTACTACTACTACTACTACTACTACTACTACTACTACTACTACTACTACTACTACTACTACTACTACTACTACTACTACTACTACTACTACTACTACTACTACTACTACTACTACTACTACTACTACTACTACTACTACTACTACTACTACTACTACTACTACTACTACTACTACTACTACTACTACTACTACTACTACTACTACTACTACTACTACTACTACTACTACTACTACTACTACTACTACTACTACTACTACTACTACTACTACTACTACTACTACTACTACTACTACTACTACTACTACTACTACTACTACTACTACTACTACTACTACTACTACTACTACTACTACTACTACTACTACTACTACTACTACTACTACTACTACTACTACTACTACTACTACTACTACTACTACTACTACTACTACTACTACTACTACTACTACTACTACTACTACTACTACTACTACTACTACTACTACTACTACTACTACTACTACTACTACTACTACTACTACTACTACTACTACTACTACTACTACTACTACTACTACTACTACTACTACTACTACTACTACTACTACTACTACTACTACTACTACTACTACTACTACTACTACTACTTCTACTACTACTACTACTACTACTACTACTACTACTACTACTACTACTACTACTACTACTACTACTACTACTACTACTACTACTACTACTACTACTACTACTACTACTACTACTACTACTACTACTACTACTACTACTACTACTACTACTACTACTACTACTACTACTACTACTACTACTACTACTACTACTACTACTACTACTACTACTACTACTACTACTACTACTACTACTACTACTACTACTACTACTACTACTCCTACCACCTACCTACTACTACTACTACTACTACTACTACTACTACTACTACTACTACTACTACTACTACTACTACTACTACTACTACTACTACTACTACTACTACTACTACTACTACTACTACTACTACTACTACTACTACTACTACTACTACTACTACTACTACTACTACTACTACATGATATCATCCAAATAGGCTGCAGCTAGCCCCTGCATGGCCTCTATAACTTGCTGGAAAATTGCCGCTGCGGTTATGATCCCGAGTGGCAAAGGATTGTGCTAGTAGAGCCCACGATGTGTTGATAAAAAGAAGCTTCATGCATTCGGGAACAATTTCTAGCTGCGATTAGGTATATGCAAGATCCACGGTAGCTAAGTACTTGTCTCCGTTCAGTTTGGCGAACAAGTCTTCAGGTAGTGGGAGTGGGTACTGATGGAATTCCGGTGAAGCATTAGACCAGTTGAGAAAGCTGCTCAAAAACGAACAGTACCGTTCGGTTTCTTGATCACAACGATAGGAGTAGCCCATGGTGGGAAACTGATTCGCTCAATCACTCCAGCCTGCTTCAATCAGTCATGATCCTGTTCAACGAGTAATTGTGATGCATAAGGGACTGGACGCTTGGGTCGAAACACCGGTTTTGTATCAGGTAAGAGAGTAAGCTTTGTCTGCGTTTTTCTGTGGTGTCCAAGTTCCGAATAAAAGACAACCTCCTCGTAGTGCCAGCTGGGGGGCTCGGGTTTATCCTGTTCCAGCAAATAGTTCGGCAACAGTGTTTCAGGATGTGATGGGTTTTCGCCTGACAAGCTTTCTCCTCATAAAACGCCGCATATGTCCGTTTAACAAACCCGCGACGTGGCGGTTGTGAACCGCCACAAACTAAAGTCACTGCCCCTTGCTTATCCGCACAATCGTATCCAATCGACAGACGTCAAACATCGTTTCTGACACTGGCGATCTGACCAGTCAAAAGTGCAGCGACACATGTATAAACCCAAGCAACACAGCTACACACTTATATTCATGGATCCATAGACATGACCATCTTGTCATACCTTTGTACATTACTCGATCCGTTGTACGTTTACCGTGATCATGCTTGTGCAGGTGTGCCTCGCGTTGTCGAGAATAAAAAGTTTGATAGAAATCGTTTAAATAAAGACGTATAAGGCTGTATGGTGCAAAATGACATTCCCATCAAAACATAGATGATTCAGAGGTATAAGGAGCAAATTCAGCCTCCCAATCCAATCAATTCCCAAAAATTTAATGGCGGCAAATGAAACGAGCTAAATCGTTCCGCTGAGTCCTGAATTTTATTCCATATGTAATTCGCCATCTAACCTGTGTTTCCCCGGACGCATTTGGATGATCGTCTGCTAAGCTTTATCCATATCGATCGCAAAAGCAATGTGACATTGGATACCGTATCCAGCTGCAACGATACAGGAACACCATAGATTCTCACCGTTAGATGCTTTCTTTTTCTTGCAAACTCTGTGCGAAATGTTGTGAGAATTGCCTTTGTCCTTGCTCTGTGATACTTTGTCCTGCTAAAGCTTGAACCTGCATGTATTGGTGGGGGAAACGAGCGTCTGAATGTGCGGGTGAGTTTCCTTATGGCCAAACTGCCTGCATATTTGACATCAGTGCCTTTTGTACTTGAAGGCTCCCGCAAAGTGTCATGCACCACAGTTCCAGCATGCGGTTAGGGGATTCTGACTCGACACATGACGGCTAACACTGTGACAATGGATAGCTGTGCGGCAAACCTGGGGTTCTGTTCTGGAATCATCGGTTTCAATCATTTTGTGTCCTGCTTCCAATTGATCAATTGTTGGCATTCAGCTGTAGTCTCTTGCAACGTCAATTGCGGTTCCTATTTCAGTTTGTGGAGAATTAGTGTTCGAACAATGGCATCAGCATGAGACTGGAGCATGCATACGAAAACAAGATTCCTGAACTGACCAGCTGTTCCCGTGCCCAGATTGAAGCGTCCACATTTGCGGCTCACGATCGCGGTATACGTGGTAAAATAATGAGCGTCATGTTTGACCAATTTTAAACAATTGTACCGAACAGTGAAGAAAAGACTTGTTCACCGAATATCTGCGTCAAAGTTTTAATTGTTTCCTCAAAGCTAGAGTGACTCAAGTTGGTGTGACGTTCGTGTTCGATTGCACTCTGTTTCCTTAGCAATAGCCGAACATTCCAGGCGTCGTCTTGTTCAATCAATTCCACCAAAAAATGTCCTCGTACTTTAGAAACCACGAATCGGCCGTTGCACTCGTTAATGCGTCAAAAACGAACTACAAAATGGATGCGGCAATGGCGTCCACGCTAGGCTTTGTAGTTGTGTCTGAAAATCCAGCTCCTGTGATAATAATTCAAGCAACCGCCGTTGTGACTTTTCAAATTGCATCTGCTGCTGCTGGAGAAGCGCCTGCATCAGTTCAAATGAAGCCACCATTGTTCTCCAACCTATCCGCCGCTAGAAATTGTTGTGTCACCACCGACTGTTCGCACCCCCACGACCGCAATGAGAACACGGAAGAGGAGGCAGGACAGAAACGTAGGAATGAGAATACTTCTTCCTTATATAGGGTACAAAGAGTAGAAGAAATCTGCTAAAGCACACTGCGGCCAGCCAACAACACAGGAGACGCTACATGACACAGGCGATAAAAATAAGAGCCAATCAAGGTTATCGAAGAAAGCGGTATTAGCGGAAATGGGGCCCAGAGAAAACATTCTTTACGAACGACATATGCTGGCCAAGCAAATTAAGGAAATGATGCATTTAAAGAAATGTCAATAAACAAACGATAGCTCAACGAAAGCCAGGAACTAAGAATCGTCACACAAAAGTACATGCTTAGTAAGCATCCTCCTAACCTCACTTCAGAAAATAGTAGACAATAGCTTCGGATCGAGGTTAACGATGGGGAATGCGGAGAGGGGTAACGATGTGTGAAAGTGATTAACTTCGATTTACGGGTGCAACTGTGGGAGGAGCAGAAGCGGTGGAGTGAACCGTCCTAAGTAAGCAGCAAGACAAACTTACTTCCTCGAACTCCGGTTGGATCGTGCTGCAGTGTATATCGAAATCGTGGAACAGCTCCTTAACTTTGTGAGCGATCTTCAAATAATCAGCTGCAACGAACGAGAAATAAGAGCGTGTTTTCCGAGAAGAGTAATAACTGGATGGAATCAGGCTGATCGGCAGGGAGCAGGGCGCTGATCTGAGCTAACTGTTACGAACGCAGTACTCATCAAAGTGAAGAGCTGAACGTATGTGAGGATGCAAGAACAGTGGGCGAGGTGATGAGATACGTGATGTCCACTTCATCTACTGGTTAAAAAATAGCTAGTAACCCAGAGACTCCCGGGTCGAGCCACCAATGAGGTAGGCATGATGTTCGACAGTCGCAATGTTGTGTTTCTTTTTTTAAATAAGAGATGTACAATGATTCCATAGAGCAGAGAGGGCCTTGTGCTGTTAAACTGTAATATGCTGTTACAGAAACTGCAGACGGAACGTACGGCAAATCTCTAAGCAGATGGTGACCAGCTTGAACATGCATGTATCTACACTAAAGAAGGATTAGAAAATGGTCATGAGAGGGGGAGCATCACGCAACCAGTGATATTTACGACACCAGAAAGGTGTGCAGAGCTTGAATTGAAACAAAGAATACGTAGGAAAATTGCTGCGGAGAACAGCTGAATGGCCATTCAAATTAGCGTTTTGAAATGCAAGTAAATCAAACGGAACAAATGGACCACATCGTATGCGACAAAGAATTCGAACATACATCAAAGATATAACTTTTTAGCTATATTTGTTACTGCATGATAGGAACATGACCAAACATCAACCAATGCCGCAAGCACACCTCTATTATTTGGAACTGAGTAGGAGACCGAAAGGATTACGCCTTGTAATCCGGAGATCACCGGTTCGAATTCGCGTAAGGTGCGAGCAACGTCGTGGTATACGCACAACGCAAGCGCGACCGGTGGTGGTCGCGTGGAAGCTAAGTGTCGGTACGGTGTGCCGGCGGGGCACTGTTGATGCCTCGCTTACTTCTTCCTACCCGGGATCTGGGTTCATAATACGAAATACAATTTTCATGAATGTTGTTGTAGTATTAAAACCGCCTAACTGTGAACTACTTGTTGTCTTATTCGGCATTTAGTATGATTGCGGTTATCCCTACAAACACATGCGCCGCAGAGCACTTAAATGGATGTAGCAGATGCTAACACATTGAAAGGCTGTGCGGTGCACCGTAATATCAAACCGAATCACCGCAGCATAGTTAACAAAACAGTGTGAAACCACATATGGGTATTTCAGACAATGCCAACACGCGAGCTCACGGGTTGTAGGAATCGGGATGTCATCCTCGGTGCATGAGCATCCGGCATCAACAAAATGTGATGGGCCCACGCAAGCGTACAAAAGTCTGTTGCTGCTCTACAGTAATCTCCACTAATGAACGTATGAGGTTTCGCCCTCATTTGCTCAGCTGCTCGCGTACGGTGTGCTACAGATCATCAAAGGAAGTGAACCACTGGGCGATTTGCCATAAGCCACACTCTCATTATCGAGGTGCGATCGATTGCGCGATGAAAGCAAAGACACATGCTGATTTCCACGTGATCAGTGGTGAGGAATGAAGGATGTGTCACTCACTCGTAGTCTATCACAATGTGTCGGCCTGTCCAAATAAATAGGCAACGGAAATAAGATAAGTGCACTAGACAAGCTCTGCTCCCTAAGTCCGTTCATATAGTGTTGGTTCCCTGCAGTCCGAATACTAGGATTTACATACGTTGTGCACAAACAATGATTGTGAAACAAAGCGTTCCAATTTATCAAATGAGGAAATTACGGAAATCATTACCGCAACCAAATGACTAGAGGCTGGAAAAATTGTTGATGAAACCACAGCCATGCAACGGGGTGACTGCATTGATTGTGTTTTGATAAAGATAATCGAGCGATCGGCCGATGTATGAAACGAAGCGGGTCAAGCTTACGACAAAAAGAGTGCAGTATGTGGCGCACACAAGGACATGGCAGTAGCAAGCAACGGTGTTCGGAACGTTTCATGACCCGACGACACATAAACAAATATGATCTAAATAAGCTGTCTGCCATACATTCGATGTGAATACACGAAGTGCGTCAAAGTAGCCACATTGCAGCGGAGCACAAAACGAGGGACGCCAGCTTGTCATTACGCAGCAAAGCCCACCCGGAAAAGGAGGCGAGTGAATGAGAGAGTAACGCAAACCAAGGCAACACATGGACCCAATCCATCTGATCACTTGGATCACGGGCTTACCACCTTGGCTGCATCGAGATGTCCAGATAAACCAATGTGATGAATTGGATCTCAAGAAAATACAGTCGTACACATGGACGAAAGGCGGAGGAGGAAGGGAGGATCAGCGGCAAGCAATAAACGTACTGGTTAGCAGGGGCTAGCATTCCAAGCGATGTGCGAATATATGATGAGTTGGAGCAGATTCGCCACATAAAATAGAACAAGGGCCAACAAAGACCAAACGTCTCTAGGGCGTGCGACTGAACTGAATGAAATCGGTGGATGCTAGACTTAAATCCAATGGGCAAATCAATGAAGAGAGTGAGCAAGGGTGGAGTGGTTCGGTTCAGTTGAGCAAACCTGATCCACAATAAAAAGTGCAGTGAGCCCAGTCGCCATCATTAAAACACACAAAACAATAGAACAATGAGGGAAATGAGAGGACAACAAGCATCCACTAGGTAAATAGATAAAGAACGAAAGGCTTGGAATTAAGGGTCGTAAGCGACAGTGGACAGAACGCAAGAAAATCATATGCGATATGATCTATAACAACTGATGTTGCCGATCCTGATGACCATACAACTTTATTCACTAATACGGTCATCTAGCTTGCTCTTCTTTACCATGCCATCATCCTCGGAGATTTACCTAACGATCTGGAGGTATTCCCCGCTTGACTGCAGGTTGCTGAGTGAAATATTCAAAATTCCCAGTTTCATTACGCACCTAGGTGCAGTAAACAGCTCCCTAGTTCGAGCGTTGATCGTGAGACATCTGGAAGCTGCCTCGTTTCATTCGCACACTTGGTGACGGTAAGTCTTTCAAGAAACGGCTATCTAACCCATTCGGTTATCTGCCGTTGTTCCGATACATTTGGCTGAGTAGCTGCATATTTGCAGCATAGCACACTGGCAATCGCGCTATCCAATGTTGTGAGTGGAGTATTCCATCAGCGTAAACAGGTTGATACAAGGCCATTGCGACGAGACTAAATCTTAACGTGTTGCGATGGTTTGCTTCAGTGATCCATTCAGTTATGCTGGGCGGTGGTTTTTGCATCTTCGGTGCCCCTCATACCAGATTGGTCAATTGTTAGAGGCCAGACAAACTTAGTCTCCTTGCCCTCCAGGTTGGGGGTTGGAGTGAAAGTGGCTACTTACTCCATAAAACGGATTCTCTGTAGCCCAGTGCCTAAACCCCGCTGCTTTGTGGGAAGGCTTTTGTATCAAAGGCTTTGGTTGAGAACCGTAATCTTTATCCTGTCTAGGACTGGGCAACCTGACAGTATCTTGCTCACACAATACACCATGGATTTCCTCCTAACAATCTCTTGATGCTCTGGAGGCCGCAAATGATAACCAACGGCGCCCTATCTGCTGCATCGAGCAGGGTAGAAAGGGGTTTGGATGCTACTGCTCAGGCTTTCCCATCTTTTTATTCCCCACTTGCGCTTTTTCATCATTAATGTCCCGCTCCAACTTAATTTTATTCCCTCAGTTTTCAAAAACAAGCTTTAAGCACACCGCTTGTGTTTCTTTTTGCAATAGAAAAACCGAAAACGCTTTATCCTCACAACGGTTCCATGGATGATTGTACTAATTTACATGAACACTCGAGGGTAAACCAAGAGCTGACGGTGGAAGATGAGGCTCTGGAATACTAAAATGGATGGGGCTGTTGAATATCGCTTTCCAAGTTGAGGTCGAAGTGTCCCAGCTAGTACTCAGTTCCACAGCTTACAAGATAAACCACGCGACTGGGACCAGTGGTATGCCTGCAATCTGACAATCTATTCAAAGTGCGCATGGCACTGCTACTCCAAGACCGCACTATGTCCAATAGTCACCAACCACCCCGATACCCGCACCCACACCAGTCTGACCAACTTTCTCACTCAAATTCATGCCGTTATACAATGTTGTCGAGTAGCTACCTGACGATTTCACCCAATTCTGTGCAGCCACGGTGTATAGTGCACGCCGTGGAAGCCGGTTAATGGACATTTGGAATACATAAACTAGCAAAAGTAAGCGGGTGAGCTTTAGCGAATACTCGAGTGAGGTGCTGGAGGGTTTCATGTCAAAAACCAACTGTCGGAGCTAAGCATTGCTCACCCGGCGTTCCTGCCAGACGTGAGCAATACTCCGCAAATACAGATACTTAAACAAGGCCCAGCGTTTAATGTCTTCGCAGTGAACTGGCCATGGCTCTGATTCATACGGTAAGATCGGTCTTATCGCAGTGTTATATACCCTACTTTTCACTGACAGACTGACATCCTGAAGTCCCCATAGATAATTGAGTCACTAGAAAGCCACAAAGGCCTTGCTGACACGCAAGTTAATTTCCTCAGTGACTTGGCCACCAGAGGTGACACAATTACCAAGGTAAGTGAACCGATCCACCACATCCGATGGCTGTTCAGTGATAATTAGAACCAGAAGTGTGTTGGTCCAGTCCTACAACAGTTCTTGACACTTGGAAGGTGCCAAGCACATGCAGCAGCGTACAGCGCTACTCATCAGTCTATGCAGTAATGTTTGCATAGCCATTGTGTCCGACCCAAGCAGAGGTATGTCGTCTCAACTGGTCAATTGACATAACTTCCACTTCAGAAGTCTCAAAGGACGGAGTCATGCCTAATCATTGCAATTACGAAGCTGAAGGAAAAAAGAGACATATTACAACCGTGTCAACCCTATTTGTTACATGGAATTCAGAGGACAGCTCCCAATAGATCGTTACCCGGCCGGCCCGTAGCCTTAAGGATTACAAGCCCGCCTTGTATTTCGACGGCGCGGGTCCGAGTCTGCGTATGGGCCGGGCGACTCTGGTGGTACCCTTAGCCACGTGCGACCGGTTGTGGCTATGCGACAGCAAAGCGACGGTATTGTGTACCGGCGTACTGTTGATACCTATTTTACCCGATCTTGGGAGTTACAGTAGATAGACTTCAGGATGGAGAGTTTTCCTTAACGAATAGGCAGCGACAGGATGGCACGATCAACAGAATCCAAGATAACTTTCAGATCCGGAAAAATCACCAGATTCGGTCGTCTGTAAGTGTGTCTGCTTTAAAAGTTGACGAAGAGTAAATATGTGGTCGATTCAACCCCGTCCAAGGCGGAAGCCAACCTAGTTTAAAATGATCCGGTACACAAAAGAACCAACAGATAATCGAAGAATGACACCCGCGAGAAGTCTGGAGGCCATGAAAATGACGCTAATGCTTAGATGATTTTCGCACTAAGTCCGTTGATTGTTTTGAAAATGGGCACGACAGTTAATAGTCTGAAGAAGCCTTTTCAAAGTCCCAAATCGTTTGGTCAACAGCGTTACTTCCTCCTTTAAGCAATAATGGAGGAAGGTCATCGGGTCCAAGAGCCTTATTTCGCTTCAATATAGCAAATTCACGTCGAGTTTCTTTCAACATTGGAGAAGTGACACCCACTTCCCACGTCGGCTCAGGTGATTTATCAAACCACAGTGTCGCAACAAGCCTGTGGAACTGCTTTTCGAAATGTTGTGACCAATGGGCTAGTTGGCGCGGATGAGAATATATCAACTGTTCATCCTACTTGGCTGTTGTCTCACCAACTGTGGGCTTCCTTGGATCCGTCTCGGATGAGCTGAAACATCACTCGGTCAATTTGAAGACTCCTTCTGAGTCGCCGTTTCAGGGCGTTACGGACAAGGTGAAACCCATTACCCAGTGGAACCTGTTTGTTTGCTTCATTAAATTGATGGATGGCTCAAAAATTTAATCACGGTTCAGTCATCTCAAGTTAGGCGTACCGCCTGTGTCAAAAGCATTCTTCATGGCACACTTGAGACAATTCCAGTCAGCGTTAGGCACATCAACCTACTCCTCAATGACAATTGGTGAGCAAGTTCGTCATGATACTGTTTAACTGCAGAATGCAAGTTCAAGGTACAAGTAAGAGGTTAGAAGTTAGGCGCTTCTTTGATGCGGAGAAAGTGGGCACAAGGCGTGCGTGCAGTAGAGAATGGTCGAAATCCGGGCACTTCTCCAGACTCACCGACAGTCTTAGACTGATGGGTGGCATCTACGACTATGGCACTATGGTCAAGTTGGATTCAGGTCATGGAAGAATTCGGTGGGCGCCAGGTGACATGATGTGAACGCTTGTGCTGGAAAGAAGCGCAGCCACTATAAAGGTTGTAATTAACACACAGTTGCAGGAATTAATCGTTATTGTCTATTCGATCGCACAGACTCCGAAGAGGCCTCCCAGAGTCCGAAAGATGACGCATTTGGGCATTTATGTCACCAGCAACAATCACGAGGTCAGTATTCTTCGTCATGTAGGAAAGAAATGATAGCTGTCGATAGAGATCGTCTGATACCTTCCGAATTGCAGATAGAAGAGGCATAAACAGAGGGGGGGGGTGAAAAGATACTTGTCTTCAGAGGTTTGAAGGCGAACGACACATACGGCTGTCCATCGGCGCGCAGTTGAGCAGATCATATCTAGCATGTTTGTTGAGGACGATACCAACACCGAAAATACGTTGGGCTATTGAGTCTATATCGCCAAAGACACGAAGAGTGTAGCCATCGTTTTTAGAATCAGAACGAGGGAGTCAAAGAATCGTCACAACGCTGTTACTTTGTATGTGTGTTTCGGAGACACAGCACAATCAATATCAAGAGGGTGAAGAATGAGAGTCAGTGCTGCCTGCTGGACTATCTGACCCAGAGTGCGGACAATAAAAATACCAATGTGAAATGATACCCTTGGTTTGAGGGATGAGTTACATGTAACGATGGCAGCAGTTATGAGGTCAGTGGCAGTCTTGATCAGCAGAGGGGGGGCACAACAGAACATAACCGGTCACCACTGGCTTGGTAATTCCGCGGATAGGGAATGGTGTGCTGAAAAGCATATGAATGGTGGTGTCATATAAGTTGGTTCATGGTACTAAACCAGTAAATTTAATCTTGTACTAAAGGGAGAAAGGAATCCACCATGTGTGCCACGGTACGCGAACAGGAAACATAAGCACCAGAGGAGGAGAAAAGTGGTATCGCATTAGGAAAGCAAACGGGTCAACAACATCCGAGACAAGCGGGTGAGCCACAAGAAACACCGCATTAGGAAAACACCCAGTGCGACTTACGTAGGCTTCTGCATCTGATATGTACCGTACCGATGATACAATTGCTTTGTAGCCTCCAAACATGAAGATCGTGAACTTCATGGATTCCATCAATCTGCGGCGGAACAGGCAATTGAAGGGGATCTCATAAGGTGGTAAGCATTGACAAGAGGAGCAAAATAGCCAAGCACATGTTAGGTGTGCCATCCGTCTGCATACACAAATCCAAGATCTGTTTCATCTTTGACTCCAAATGAAATTAGCATGAAACAGTGTGCTGCAAGCGTGCAACACACCTAACATTCATCTGTTCCGGAAACTATTCCAATGACGGCAATGACTGGGCTCGCCTACAAACTGAATGGCCGTACATATCGAGATCGTGTCTCGCAATGTGACTGCGTTAACCGGAAGTGTACACGAGTGGATGTGCGAAACCAATAATTTATGTGGGCGGATTAGGTGAAAGACGCGAGGAAAGCCGTTTGCACCTACATAGTGCATTCAAGTCCATCGGTTGCCAAAGCTACAGTAGGAGTATATAAAGACAGAATGTGCAGAGAGAATATCTCAATTAGAAAAGCAAACGTCGGCATACAGCAACTGATCTAGAAGTGAGACAGAATGGTAGAAGATGACAAGTGTCATTACACAAAAAGGTGAAGTAAAAAGCGTACGTTTAAATACCGAGAAATGTTAGCTGCTGAAGATGAGGGGTGTGAATGAACAAGATGAGTGAAAGTTGCGTCGAGACAGCGTAAGCGAAAACACGTGTTGGGATAAGGAGTCAGAGACGGTTGCTGGGTTCCATCCCCAATAAACGTATGAATCCAAAGCAGGGGAACAAATATGACCTACGGAGCAAGCCGTGATTAAAGCCGCGTACAGTAGCTGACTTTAGTAAATTAGAGATTAAAGACTTCGAATGTGTCCCACGAAAGACGAAATGTGTTATGCACTGTGCGAAATGCGGACATCAGCAAACTGTAGAAAGGTGTTCGCCCCATAACAAATAAACGTACCATTTCGAGGCGAGCTTTCAAATTTTTCAAGGAGATCTCATTTGGTACTGACTGCAATAAAATGAGGGCCGCTTTGCACACTACAAAGTTTAAAAAGAGGTTGGGTTGAGACATCAGATACAAATAAATATTTACCAACGTGGAGGAAACAAAATCATACTACAGTTTACATAAGCTGCATAACGGTACGCTTGAATAGGTCGAATATGACATAGTTGGATCAGTAGGCCAAGATGAAGGGAGATGGCATGTTAAAGAGGAACGGATAAGGTTCATGAATAATAAATATTACAATGAAGCCAGGCGCAGCGCGTATCGCCATCAAGAGACGAGATGACAGTCACAGACTGCATTTCGATAGCGGCGTGGCATTAGAAATAATAAAACAGAGACTTCCGGTGTGTTTAAAAATAATGTTCAGTCATCTTTGGCACTGAGTAAATTAAATGGAAGGGAAGCTTTTGAACACAACAAATCTTTCCTTTTTCTGTGATGCACAAAATGAGAAAACAAAAAGGGGTATATAAAGGCCATTTGGGCGAAACAGGCATATGGGCATGATATCAGAAGGGGTGGCGGTGTGGCGTTAGGTAAAGTGAGAGATGATGGTTGCAACTAGGCGCTAAGATTTGTTTGATAGTTTGTACAAAAGTATCCAAGTGATGAGACACAGTGGGAGGGAAGTCCCTTCGCTATGCGGACCTCACAAGTGGATCTGAGGGCACGTTGATATACAGAAAACAACTATTGCGTTCATGCTACACAAAGCCGTGAAAAGGGACAATGTCATTATAGTAACAGGGAAAAACAAGCCTCCATTTGGATGACCAGTGATTTATGACATGGTGTGCAATAAACAAAAATATTAAAGGTGGATGGTGCACATGCAAACGCTAGGAAGAACAATCATGTTGTTATGTGACTTGTCACGCGTGAAAGCCCGACCAAATGCCCTAACCAAAGTAAGTTGGTTGACATATCTCAGGCCAGGGATTCATCAAGCCATCGCAGAGTGAAAGCTAATCCTAGTAGGATTACGTGCATCGAGCGGTATGCAGTAGCATGAATGTAACATGAGATAGAGGCATACCGAGTGAGTGGATGGGAGAAAAGACAACCTCGGGGCTCACAAGAACACATTTTTGGTCCAGTGACCGTGTTGAAGGAGGCAGGAAACAGGTGCCAGCGCGAATCATGGAAAAGGCATAATTGATATAATTTTTAGGAAAAAAATGCAAGTACAGGTGGTCGTATCATTGGGTTCGATCGGCCATCGATCAACGAGTGAAGGGATAAAAGCTGGCGATGAAGTTAGACAATGTGGCTGAGGAAAAGGATGGCTTACTTAAAGGCACTGCAGAAGCCAGAATGATCACAACCATGAGCACACTGAAAATGACAGAAAAATATCCCAAGTAAAAACAAAAGCAAACTATCGCGTTACAAGTGCTAGCATATACAGGACTGCATGACTGTCGAAGTATCAAGCCGGTGGGAGTCAAGGACATCTGACAAAAATAAGGACCGCTACAATGAAACAGCATCGATCGCAAATCGAACGAACACTGAGATACTTTGAGTGAGTCTAAACATAGCGGCAATAGGCAATCGATAGAGAGACTTACTTAGCAGGCTAGTGTGCGGAATGAAGAAATAAAAACAATGAACCGAACGCCAATATAGAACAGGGTGGAACAAACAACATCAAAGAGTGACTCCCCCGTTTGTGTTCTAGGCGATGAGGAAAGGGTACCTAACAGCTGCTGAGCCAATAAAGCAAGTGATTCGGGGAGTCTGCAAAAAAGAGCATGTGACGCTAAGAGTGAACCATGAGTTCAGGGACCAGGCTGCCATAGCATTGCGTCGAGATTGCGGATTAACATGTAAATACTTGCTACTAGTGTGCTGATTTCGAACGGCGACTAACACTAGCTCACCGCAGAGTTGACGGACACCCAAGCTGGCAGGTGCTGCCAGTTGGCGGTGCATAAAAATTGAGAGCAAGAAGTTGCCAGTATAAAAGGACTGAGCTTGTTGGTTTCCCTCATCCTCCTATATGAACATAAGGATGGGGTTATGTCAAACGGTTACGGCTCCCATCGTACATTGAATAGTGTGGAGGGTGGTGTCACCCACAAATTCGGCTCTCGTGGTAGGTTAGTCACTCTCTCATGCAACGCCCAGTTTGAGTACTACTTTCCATCCACCATATTTCGCTCATTTCCCCCAAGTTATTGGCTAGTATAGTTAAGATGATGTTAGTCACCGTGCCAGGTGACTTGATGCCAAACATCAACTGGTGGAGCTAAGTATAAAAACTCGGTGTCCGAACAAGAAATAGGCAATCATTCGAGGGTATCCGGGGTGAAACAACATGTGGTCCTTCAATACCTTAAAACGCACGGTGATAAGATTGAACGGTATAAAGCGGTGCGATGGTTTGAATGCAACCTTCCCCAATTCAATGGGCTAGGGGAGCTGGGTGGTACTTTCCGCACATTATCACAATCACTCATACTCAACAGGCTACTAGTTATGGGTTAGACGAACTCAGCCGCAAGATACAATGCATTGGAAATTGAGGAGATGCTGAACATTATATTCCGTGAAATCCGTGAAATAAGAGCTTACAAGTTGCAGGTTCAGCTTGATTAACATAGAGCACGACCATCACGGGTTGTCTCTGTAATGGTGGAACTCAACGACTGTTCATTCGTTTATTGCCGTCATCCTCAAGCAATGCAGCTTCCGGCCAGTATGCTGCAACTCCGACAAAGGTAAACCGCGGTTGGCGGCGTTCATAGGGGAATAATTTACAACCGATAAGCACATATGAATTAATCGGAATCTCTCAAAACTGCATGTGATCGGTCTCAAATGGACCTCAGTGGGACTCTGCTTTAGGCCGCTGAAGTGGACGGGTTCCCCAGTAAATTGTCTGTCAGATTCAGGATGGAGTTCCCTAGACAAACTTCCATTTATCCCACCGTCTAGTGAAGCAGACTATTGAATCAAGTATACAAGTGAAAATCTGAGAGCAAACCTTTTCTTTCGAAGTGGGCGGCTGCAAATTAAACCTATGCGCGAGGTCTGGTTGCCAATGGCCTTTTTATAATGCGGTCTAATTTCTCGTTGGACTTTCATGTTGAGAAATAAGAGATCACGACTCTATCAGCCACTGACACAGAAGTATGGGTATTTTCTAAACCTATAGTGTTATTCTACACCTATTTATTCGATGTGAGCGCACTACCAGATCAGTCAGCAGATGGCAATCGCAATGCGCTCTCTCATGTCGAGCTCCAAAACCACACATGCATAGCAACAACGCTTACCAGACTAGGGTCCGAATGACGGGGGTTACAGTATTAGCGTTTCCGGAGATCCCAGATTCGCGACATCCGAAGCGTGAGCCGCTCACAGTCAACATTACCACTCAGAATGAATTCGACTAAGAAACCGCATGTGAAAAGTGCAACTTTGGGGCGCAATCAAGGTTAAAAGATAACAGGTGAAGATACGGGAGGCTATGGGTGATATAACATATGCTTATCGACTTTGTCTCGGAGGCAGTCACACATAAATTCTGCCAAAAGCCCTTATCCCACGTCTGAGTGTCTAAAGATGTGTATATTATGATCGTTGCTGATGACATGCTCAAGTCGACCACCTAGCAGAGCGAGAACACTGCTTCAGGGGTCGTTTCGAGATCACTCCAATGGCAATGGTTTCCTTCACCTGTCTCAAAATCCATTTCAGCAGCAGATATTTCGGAAATAAACGCTAGCATCGAGTTATATGGCGTTCACTCAACAAGTTACCGCAGACCCTAGTTGATCATGTCGCCACAGTATAAGTGACGTCCGTTGGGCCGAGCTTACGTCGATCTAGAGGGTTGGCCTCGATTTTGACCACGCCAATGCGCGCGCCCACATTGCGCTCAGTTGTTCGTTTCTAAAAAGTGTCCAACTTTGAAAGTGCCTGCGTTCCAACTGAAATCGTAGTCCGCGAAGTATCAATAAAACCCCATATTGTGACAGCCTAGTCGTCCGGAATCAAGCCGCTGGACGAAAAACGGAATATATGCAAAAAACCTGACGCGACTTGCCCACCCAGTTTGATGTATCCGAAATGTAGACGAAGTCCAGAGCTCAAATAAAGTAAATTCAAACGGGGAAAATGCTTTTAACAGCAAGTAAGTACCACAGTGCATAACAATTTAGACCTGGTATATCAGGACTGTTAGTTGGGTTACTAGAACCCGTGTGTGACATTGATACTACAACGGCCAAGTTAGGTAACATCCGACACAAAGTGATGCTCGATTTCGGCTAAAGCACGCTGACCGGCTTAGTGCTTACAGTCTGCATGTCTGACAAAACGATTGTTAGTTCGTTTCTGACGCCTCGAAAGCAAACACACATTATGACCCAACGCCTCGGTTATCATAGGGTGGCCTATAAGCTGGTAGAGAGTGTATACTTCACGTGTTAGAAAGCGACTGCACATCTTCACACTTGTGAACGACCCACCATAGTGACTTCCCTTGAATGGAAGACAAGATTTGATCCAGTTGACTGCACGCACATGATTTTGATGGTGCCATCAGAGAAATTTCCTTTTGTCCCGAAATGCTTGGACAACGGTTGACGGCATCGCGTGAAGAGAGACACAAAAGTGTTCCTTCAGTTTTTCCAAGTAAAGCGAGATCCGTCAGGATTTTCCTATTAAATAATAACCACCAACAAGACACGATCAGTTTCCTTCCCTTCCCTTGACTTTTTCAATAATGTTGCAGAACTGCTCTCCCAGTAAGACTAGTGCTAGTAGTCGAATTTTAATGGTATGCCGAAGTAAGATTCTAATTTTACACAGCTCTTACAACGCTCCCATTCTAAGTCACATTGGCAGCTCTTTCTCACATTACACAGTGCAGTGTCCAAGAAATAACCATACACAATGGTAGCATTGTAACCAGCCATCGGCTACTCAAATCAGATTCCGGTGACAATGGTCGAAGAGCTAGAATCGCTGGTGACGTATAGCTGATGGTTCGATACATTCAACGTTTCCGTAGCGCATTCCGTGTAAGATTTCAACTGAAGTTCTAAAGGTTCGAGCCGCAGTGCTGCTAACTCTGCATGATGGGAGGAACTGACTACGGAACCGATTGTAGAATGAACTACTGCGAGCGGAAAACCCGCCAATGCGGCCCCAGTCACTGAATTCACCGAGATTCACTTCAAAGTGAATTGTGCCCCTTCCCGAGTTTGTTTGTCGCACTCCATTGACATAACATGCGCTTCAAAATGACCCACTTTGGACTTGATGACTAGTGAACAGAAAATTGTTAATGTTTTCATTGAACAGGAACCAGCGATAACAGTAGCAGTGCTTTGTAACACAAGCAGCACCCCCACGGTGGTGTCACTACATACCTACTAGGCGAAATAATGTCACGAACACAGGCGCGACACACAGCACCTAGTTAGACACTGTGCACATCAGTGCAAGGTCACCTGATTGAGTTAGAGTACGGACCTCGTTACCAGTTCGAAGAGCGCTCGCGTTTCCTGTCTTAGTGGAGTGCCCAACATTAAAACTTTCTAATTGTAAGCTGAACTCTCAGCCAAAGAAGCGGTGGCATCAGTTCGAGTGGGAATGCCACGGAAAAATGAGCCAAATGCTGATTGGCTTCGTCCGCACAGGCTTAGGAAGAAGTCAACGGGAGAGTTGTATGAAGCATATAACAGGATCACACGAGACGACTAGTTGCAGTGTCCGTAACACCCCAAACAAAACTCACCTTAGGACCAGCAAGAAGGATCAAGAGTGCTGATCTGTGGCAGGTATAGGTGTCGGCGGTGACCGACGACCGTCCTATCGTGTAAAGGCATAGCCCACGAAGAGCATCTACGAGGGAAACTGCGATTAACAAGGATAGGCACTAAATCCATTCAGAGCCATCATTAGGCGAGAAGTTCCTCACTGAGAGGATTGCCAACAGTAGTGTATTAGTAGTTCTTCCAAGGACTAGCTGACAAGCGATCATATTAAGGAGGACTAGCGAAAGAGAAGAAGGGGGATCAGAGACATACACCTTGTCGGTAATTCAGTCACAAACAACTGGCCACCAAGCGAAGATAATGCGGCAGTGACAACACAGCTTCCAAAATCCCAAGCCATGATCAACCTAGCCACAGATATCTCTCAACCATACGTACTGCAAACGCACAGCAAGAACCCTACCAATGTAGATCGCCAGCCACGTCCTGCAACCATTTAGGTCAAAAACGCGGCGTGTAGGATGGTTTCAGGCCTGAAAAGATAGATGGTAGAACAGCACACAATTTGTACGTCAGCAGATCCAATTATCCTAATAGACTCGAATCCTTGTTATCACGCATCCAGTAAACACGTAAGGGCATCGAACAGAACTGTAGGTTGGTATGCGGGCTGACTTGACAGCATGTCATCGTATCGAACACGCAGGTGCCACTCGACACCAGCTATGACCCTTCAGCAACGAAAAGAAACCTTGCAGCAGACTCAACGGGCCAAGTAACAAAGCTGTAGAGGAGAACGTCCTTCATTGAGGCTCTACACATATGACATGTAGAACAAATGAAACTCTCTATGTGGACAAAAAGTTGGCAGAGCAATGAGGAAAGTCTTGGCTTTCCAAAACCTAAACTCTTTTCAGTAATTACACGATCGCCACTGTCAACGTGGCCGTCAAAGTAAAGTGAACATCCCCTCAGATTGAGAACTGTGCTACAACGTGATCGTCAAAGAAAACGTAAAGTCGTCTGCGCGAATCGGATCAACCAGTGTTCTCGGGCAATATTTCAATGCTCGTATCACCATGATGAGTCCAAGGAAAAAATGAATAGACATGAAACAACACTGGGAGATGTCATTGATTGATCGAAGGGTATCCGACCATTCAGGACAGATAATAACGCAATCTGATGTGTTTGAGCAACGGGCATACAAAACAATCACACATTAAATTGGGACACAAGTAGATCGGATAAGACAAAGCGGTCAACTGAGTTGAGTGTGTTACTGAAATCGTGGAACACAACTGTAATTTGCTTATAAAAGGAATGACACTGACCGTATAGTTGACACAGAGTAAGTACGTGATCCAAATCCGCATTCCCGATCAGGAATATGCATGCCATCGTCTCACCCGAAATCCCTGCTCCAATCGTAGACAAGGAAAAGTATGGAGATCAGCCACAGATGTTGTGACTGCTCTTCTCCAGTAACACTGTAACGCTTAATATGTTCCAGTGGACTGGGACGGCCTCCCTCTTACATAACGGTTTGAACGAGTTTTTCAAGAAATCGGGAAAATCCCCGTCAAAGAGTGAGAGCATGAGAATATTTGGGCCAGAAAGGCGGAAAAGGTTGAAAACAGCGACCGTGTTCCGACCTCTAGGTTCTAATGGAGCATAGTTAAACCTGCGTCAACCGAGAGCAAAGAGATTCGGAGGAAAGCAAGTGACTGACCAGTTTATGTAAGTGCCAAGTCCAATGAACCAACGGTGCTATCTATGATTCCCGGTTGAGGGCGGATCGGCTTGGACCGGTGATGCGGACAAGCTAATTGGAGAAAACTGCGGAAGTTATATTTTGGCAGTATCTTCTCCCTTTGCTGAGCCCTTTGTGGCCACAATGCTCCTTTGTCAATCCGTAGGCCGCATTTCTCTCAGCATCTGATAGTCTACAAGAACGCATTGCACCAGAGAGAAAACTTTCATCTTGATTCTGGCAAGTTCACTGGTTTTTATAATATTCAGTATTCGGTACGATAATAGCTGATGATGCCCTGAGCGGAAGCATCCATTCCACTGAAAAATGGTACACTCCATTCAGTTGAAGGTTTAGTGTAAGGGGCATCGCCGTGGGCTTACCCAAGCGAAGAAAGGAACGTGTCGGTTATCAATAGAGATCGTTTGCCACTCTTCCTAGCAAAGCTCAGGAAAAATCGGCATAAACTATCAGCTAAGAGGCATGCATTGCCGCTTGAGGCTTAAAACGACGGGATGCAGCTGCTGGAGGATGCCAACTATCAATTCGGCGCTCATCGTGAATGAGGATATAACGAGAAGAAACAGCGGGTGATCGACACAGATGCTCAATGGAAATCAATCAGGAACATCGCATTTAATCAAGATTCCGATGAACTTGAACGACCCACCTGCGTATCCATGCTCACAACAGCTAGCAATATATTTGGACTAGTGGCACTGAGTAGTATTGTACTATGTTGGTGTTTAAAAAATCCTTGGGTGCATAAAGAGTGAAGATATGCGGGGCTCATGAATAAACAACGTCTAGACAAACCAGCACGGCGTGAATCTCAGCTGACGTTGTCAAACACTAACGGCGCTTCACGGGAATTCACTCAACAAGCGAGAGTTCACCGTCGGAGCTAAGAATGATGTCAACACCATTCTGCAACAGCATCGTCGGACACATGCAACCAACAGCGAAAGGTAAGGCGCAGTCACTTCGACAACTGCGTAAGTGATATCAATTCCAGTGATGGTTCCCATCAACATCTATAATAACTGGTTTGCGTGTGCAAGTGCAGTCTTCTGAACAGGGAATACAATTAAGTTGTATGGCGTGATAACAGGTTAGCGATGGTGATAGATTATTGGGAGATGGGAGAATTTCAACTACGGATCACTGGGGAAGGTGGGTAATGGAATCAAGAGTTGTAACGAGAAACAAGTGGAAAGAAAAGAAAGGAGACATGAATAGTGATGTTACGTTTAGCCGTCCTGCTGTGTCTAACATATAAAGAGACCGTAGTGAAACTGAGCAGCGTCCAGTGAACGATGAGGCTGAAGTAAGCAAGTCATGGTAGTAGGCTGGTCCAGACCGTGTCAGTGCGCCAGAATCCAAGTGGAGCACGATTATTTTCCGCCAAAGCCTTTGGCGGAAAGCCTAACCAAAAGATAGTGGGGATGCAGCATCAGTTCATAAGACAGGACATGTTGGGAGAAATGAGCGTCATTCACTTCAGACACCTAGCTAAAAATGCAAGAGATTAGAACACAATTCAGAGGAGAGACAAGCAAACAGCTGCACCCATCCCAGTGGTGTCGGTGCATTTTTTAAGAGTTTGGACAACCTGTTGCACTCCCAACTACTCAGTGCAAAGATAAACCTTGTTACCACGAAGGAATCAGTTGTACCCCAAAGGAAAATGAGCCCCTTAGCAAAACAACGAATCTTGTGTACAACGAAATCAGAACGGCGGTGGGGACAAAGGGCTCTTTGTAAACTATTAGAACACCGGAGTGTTTATCTGATAATACTAAGATGGTTCGAGAAACGTACTCATCAGTTGTTTTTCAGTCACATGAAGGACAAATCAGTTCCCAGTAGGCCTCCCACGGATTATGACAATTACTGTCGATCAGTCATATACCCTTGGAGCCGGCCCGTGGACCTTGTAATCGGAGGTCGCGGGTTCGAACTTGCGTAGGGGACAGGTCGACCCTCGCAGTATCCGAAGCCCACGCGCGAATGGTGGTGGTTACGTGGCAGCGAAGCGTCGGTATTGCGTAAGGGTGTACTTATGATACCGTCTTTCTTCTTCGTATTCCCTTGAAGCTATTTACTTAAAAGTAAAAACGTCTCAAGGTTACGTTGACCAAACTGAGGGACAATTGCAGGTATTCAACTGCAAAATGTGTACCTGAGCAAAAAGTCACTCCCCACCGACAAAGCAAGGATAAGGAAGTTGCGCGCTAATGTTCTAACGGACGAAAGTTGTAGTTGCCGGTGGGGGACCTTGAAGTAAACTTTGGTAACATTCCCGGTATTCGGAATGGTAGTGGGCACTTATTGGCTCGACATTGAAGCCAGCCCTTCATCATCCTTGTCTGCAGTGTAAGTGGCTAGTCACTCTGAAGCCGTTTGTCGGTGCACTTACGCTGACTCACCGGATAGTTCCAATTAAAGTCTAGCCGACTGAGTCGACCCAAATGTCCGAGGACCAAACAAACCACCAGTGGTGCTTAAATACTAGTTTGTAAGCATCGACGGCCTTTGGGTGATCATGTACCACTTAGATATCTTGAGCCATTTAACTTGAATTTTCGTTGATGATCAGACGAACGATATCAACCAATTCGCCAATGGACGGCAACGCTTTGCCCTACGTGTTACCGTAACTGTAGCAGTCGTCCATGGACTAGACGAAGGTTCAATATGGTGTATGACAACTTGATTGACAACTGCATACATTATCTACCCGATACATTTCAACGCGTCAGTAGCGAGAGGGATGAAAATCCGTCCATACGAGTGTGCAAGGCAAGTTTCGCTCTAACACGAAAACGAGTAGCCGGAGAAAATGTATCGGCCTACGTGGCACTTTCGTGAAAAAGGATAGTAGATCAGAAGACACGAGCTTAGTTGTACCGCGATAAAGTGAGAGGAAAAGTAAAAGTACCTCATAGATGGATCAACATAAAGTTTCCACACCCCATCGGTTTTCACGTCACCTGGTGCAAATGCTAGAAGAAGCGCACTGACAACAACAATGATGGAACCAAAGAAATCGGCCAACACGTGAAGGAACACAGCTCGCATGTTCACCGATCCCGTATGTTTGCCTGAAGAAGGAAAGAAAGTCGAATTAGCGGTTATAACTAAAGCTCAGGAGTGCAAACTTGCATGGACAGTAAAACAAATGACGGGCTTCCAAAACGTTTTCGATAACTAGTTAGCAAGCAAATCATGGGATATATTGAGACAGAGTGACCTGCCTTGCTTGGACCTTCCGGGTTCAACTGCAGTGGTGGGAGTAACCGTACTGGCGTTGAGAGGCAAGACCCGTTGTTCTTCAGTATGTAGGGAACCCACGCGACTATCCAAAACTAAATGGTCGTCTAAATTCAGATGTTGTTTGTACAGGTTGGCCTTTGCGTCTGGCTTCAGCGGGGCCTCCATAGTTGCAAACTCCGAAACTTCCTATGTAGAGAACTAATGGTCAGATCGAAGACGAACGTGTACCATTGAAAATAAAAAGCGAAATGAGGAATATCGTTGTACCCAGTTGGCAAAATTTCAAGTCATATCAGAGATAAATAGGCTGAATTCAAATAATCCAAAGTAACAATTCATTCGCTGTAGTAAGCGATTAGTCAACAAGGGTTACTCTCGATATTTATAGCTGGGTGAACTTAGTAGAAAGATGAACCCCAACAAATGCAGTTCCCTGTAGTTGGTCGAGCAAACAACGTGTGTAAAGAAGACCGATTTCGAATCAGTGATTTAGATGCTTCGGTCGTAAACAAAAGGTGGCGTACTCCATTCATCGAAGAAGGGCAGGCATCTGGAGCATGATGAGGAAGTTGTCAGATGCAACAAGATCCATCACGAGGAGACGTAACGCTACGTATAACAGTTGGGGCGCATTGGATCAGCTGCAGGCGGTAGGCTATTGAAGTATACATACATTACGTCAGGATGTAATGCCGAAAACCAGGCGAGTGCAAGGTGAAACATGAGACTGAGAATGACGGAATGATGCAAGTTCCGAAAAAGCAAATAACATTTTACAGTGCTAACTGGGAAGAATACAGTAAAAAGGCAAAGTGATTGCGGAACGCTTCCGGAAACAGTACGGCAATGACAGTCACGCACTGGGCTCCATAAAACAAAACCCAGGTTTACGGATGCAAATTTTATTGATTTCTCACATCTCAGTGAACGAAAATTGTAACATCCACCATGAGCTGATTCAATAATGATCCCCAATACATCGCCAAGTTTGAAATGTCTGTTACTGTGTGACTTGTATATAATCCAGGGTGTTAATGCTTGGTTTACTTGTGGAAATCCGGAAAAAAAACCAAAGTGCATAGCTGTATCCAATGGATAATCAGTAAAAGAAGAAAGACATGTGGGATAAACTGATAATGAGTAAAATACCCCAACAATAACTGCTGATTACCCAAGAGTCACCTGATGTTGGTTCGTCACATTAAGCATCGGTGAACTGAAAGAACTGCTGCGATGAGACGGAACCTAGAGGTGATGCGATGGTTTTGCGTGCCTCAGCGATCCATTGGGCTATGCTGGGTGGTGCTTGTTGCACATGCAGATCCACCCATACCAAACTTGTCAATGGTTAGACGACTAACAAACTCGGTCTCCTGGCCCTCCAGGTTGGAGTGACGGTGGCCTCTTACTATACAAAAAGGACTCCCTGTAGCATACTGCCACAACCCTCTGCCTCGTGGTCAGGCTTTTGAATCAAAAGCTTTAATTAAGAAATCTAATCATCCCGTCTAGGCACAGGAAACCCGACAGTATGCTGCCCACGTAATACAGTACAGTGGTTCACTCTTCAAACAACTTCTAGGCGCTCTGGCCGTCGCAAAGAATAATCAACGGCGCTCTATCCACTGTATCGAGCAGAGTCGATTGGGTTAGAAAGATTCTGTTCACAGCTTCTCGTCTTCTTAATTCCCCTCTCACACATTTTCATCCTTATCGTTCCGTTCCAACTTCACTTTCAGCTCCCCAGTGTAGAACCCCTGTTACGTAACCCTCTCCCGGATTGCTTCAGTAGGCGTTTGTTTGCTAGTTTCCACTCACATGCAGTCACAGGGCGCCACTCCATTTCAAACCAGTCGACAAGTCTCTGTCCAAGCAAGCACACATCGTAAAAACATCCGTCTTTCTTTAGAGCACTTTATTCTCTCTAAGACTGACACGCCTCAACGTGCGCACTTTGTTACAGATTGGTCAATATGCAGCACCTGTCCGAACATTAGAGACACTATCGATCGATATCCGTTGTTTATCGGGAACCCGCCTGAAAGATTTGAGCTCCGTGCTAACCCAGTGATCCCCAAACGCGATAATGGCAGCCTTTTCTCATTGTGTTTTCCGGAGACGACGCAGCTTCGAGCCAATGTGAGTATCGTTTTGAGCTCCCGCGCTGAAACTACATTGATTGATTGGATCCCAGTCAAAAGCTGGATGTGCGCTGTCAGAATGATCTGCTCGTAAAGATCTCAGGACCAAAATGCGTGCTTGCCTGAAAACAGAGAGCGAAGCCTGGTGGTCCACTCGGGTGTCGAAGATGGGAAATGCTGCTGCCGTGAGTTATTTCGTCTGGTAAGGGAAACAATACCATACGCGACGAGACTAGACAGCCAATCCACATCTTATCAAAACGCTTCCGTCACAACAAGACTGGACCATAACATGGTGCAATGGCTTGTGTACCTCATCATTACCACCATCAACAGCAACACATCGGCCACTTGAACTGATGCCATACAACCATAACGACCTACGGAACGAAAAATAACAAGAGGGAGAGAAGGAGGACTTACCGGAAAACCTTAATGCCCTAAGCAAACATTTAGGGTCAAGGCACCTACACCATGTCAACAACATATCGTCACAAGCAGCTGGTTGTCATGTAAACATAACGCGGCATCGACGAGACAGTTTCCTTGCGGCTTTCACTACCCCGCGTCATAATCAGCTATTATTCTGCAGATAACAACACCAAACACACTTTAAACAGGCAGTACGACTAGGAAACAGCTGCAGACGCGCCACTGGTGTCGATTGCGAGACATATCCTGTAAAGTATCGAGTAAAGCACAAGGCGAGTCACGTGGACTCCAGTCTGGAAGGCGAGACGGACCAACGGCACTAAGTTTGGCCGTCAGGGAATTCATTTCTCGCTGCCGTCAACTTTTGTCTACCTCGGGCCTTGTGCCACTGTACACGTGGCAGACAAAAAGGCCTCTCAGTAAGCGTTGACCTGGCATACGTAATACGTGCCCAAGCCAACGCAACTTAGTGCGAACCGTTGTTCCAAGGAACTAGCTTGTGTATCACTCTCTAGCACTTGCCTACACACATCATCGTTGCGGGCACAGTGGTGCCACCAGCAATGCTCCGCAGACATCGATGATCAAAGACTTGAAGGTGCCTCAGCTTCGCAGATTGAAAGAGCTGTCTCACTCCCATAGGATAGGACAGTCCTCCCTGTGGCCCTGTAAACACGGTCTTTCAGACGTAGGAAAACTCCTTTCTTTTGCCAAAGAGGTCGCAGATTCAAGAAGGCAGTTCTGGCATTGCAATACGCAAACTGACTTCAGTAGCTACACATCCATCGTTGCTGATACAGCTGCCAAGGTAAGTGAATTGATCAACTACCACGAGTTTATCGCTATCTGGAGTCAAGGGATCATTAAGTGGCTGGTGGTAATGCAGTAACACCTGCAGTAACATTTTGAAAGTGCGAAGCGCACACCAAATAATGGAACCACTCTACACAGGTTATTCAGTGTTGATTGCTCTGCACAAACATCGTTAAAAAGCAAAGCAATACCGTCCGTATAAGCAGGATTAACTAGCTTGTCACCATGCAGCACCTCAATGTCTGCATTGTGAGAATCCGCAAGGGAATACTCCGTGATGCAGTCCACGACGGAATGTAACAAAAATAGGGAAATTGGGCAACCTTGAGGAACGCCACTTGTTTTTGGAAATTTATCCGACAGGTCACCGTAGATCTTGACGCGGCATGTAGTGTTCGAATACAGAGCACGTAAAATGTTCACACTTTTCATGGGAAAACCTTACCGAGCGCACCTCGTTGATCCATTGACCTATACTGGGTGATGTCCCTGGACCCTTGAGAGCTACTCCTACTAGGTTGGTCAAGGGTTAGAGGTCAGAAAAATTCAATCTCCTGGTCCTCTAGGTTATGGGGTTGAAATGGGATGGCGTACATTTCTGTAAAACGAAATCTTTGTCACATGCCCACTGTCTTGCGGACAGATTCCCGAACCAAAGTCATTGGTTAAGAACCTTAATCGTCCTCCTGTCTAGGTCTGGGCTCGCTGACAGTATCTCAGCCGACGCACAACCATGACAACTTCCTCAAATTTCAGCAACATCCTGCATCAGCCGTCGCGCAGCTTACCAAGGGCCGCCTTATCTGCTGCACACGGAAGGACAAATAAGCGAAAACATGCTGCTGCTGTAGCCTTACTCCATTTTGCTCCCCCTGTTTCTCTTACTCCTCTCTTTATATAATTCTCAGCTTGATTGACTGCAACCCCAATATCATACCATCTGCAGCTAACTTCTCACATCACCCAAAGGAGGCTTATCGGCAACAGTCCCTTATAGGGCCACACTGTCCCGTTTACCTTGCAGTGGTCAACGTACGCACTCTACGGTAAATAGGTCAACAGGATGCGCTCGCACGCACATTGGACACCCTGGACACCGACGTGTGTTGTGTGTTTGGAAATAGGATCAATGACCTTTACGTGGTTGTTAAGTTAAATGTGTCCCACTTGCCCTCTCGCTATTGATTGCACTCAACCGGAGACGATGACGCGGAAATTACTTATCAGGCTGGGATGGGCATCGTTCTCAGATGCAAGACTGAGTCATCGTTGTTGATTGGATTCCCGTGAGCAGCCTCTTTGACAACATCAACTAAGATTGGTTCACAAAGTAGTAATAGACGCCGCTTGTTTGTGGTTGCCGCTTATGCACCTGCCAAGTGCAATTCGGTTGCTGTCAATGATATCTTCTTCCATGAAATGGACACGCTGCTTCATAGTGCCTCCAGTTCAGACTTCATAATTGTCGCAAAAGAGATGAATGCGCAAATAGATCGGTTCGGCACTTCAGAACTTCAGATAGGTGGTAAGTATGGACTTAATTCCGGCCGTATGGACAACGGCGAGCGTTCGTAGCAACTGTGTGCGGAGCACTTTCTAGTTATAAGTAGCTCGGCTCTTGGACACAGTAGGCGCTGAGATGTCATTTAATGTGCACCTACAGCTAGCCAGCGATGGATCCAAATTGATCATGTTGCCATAAGTTATGGGGGGGGGGCGTGGTGCCATACAGGAGTGCCGCTCGTTCTGGTACACTTGCGTGGATTCTGATCATGCCTTGACACGCTATCGCTTTTCCAT